TAACCCTAACCCTAACCCTAACCCTAACCCTAACCCTAACCCTAACCCTAACCCTAACCCTAAACCCTTAACCCTAACCCTAACCCTAACCCTAACTACTGCTGCACCAGGTGTGCCGATCTTGTGCACCATACATGTTTGTTGCATTACATTCGCACTGCAGCTGCCATGTGCCTTCCACTTGCAAGACCTTGTGCAACAAGACTTTGTTGACCGTACGAATGATGTGCTGCGGTCAACTTGCATTTGCTCGACGGCGTATGCGCAATGCGTATTTGGTTTTTGATGCACTTTGTTGGCTCATTGCAGACGAGTGCTGCTGCAGGACTGTATCAGCAGCATGCACATAGCGCTACTCAGCATCTCAACGCAGCACTCACCCTTATGCAGAGTATGGGGCCGTACGCAACTATGCAAGTGCTGATGCACTGAGGAACAGTCCGTGCGGATGAGAGACAAGTTGACGCAAAAGACGCTAGATGTTGTGGTCGACATGTGAGCGCATATACTTGCTTGCTGCATTGGCAAACATACAGAGCAGTTTGAGACGGTCTCATCCGTGCCAAAAGTGAAGCCATTTTGCTACCCTGGTGATGTGTTCTGGGCTACGCCCCATTGATTGTTGTTACACTTCTCCCGCTATACTGACAAGCTCTTGGCTACACATTCTGTGCTACGCATTCTGTACTACGCCACATTGAATCTTGGTGCGCTTCCGCCGCTACAGGAATGCATTCCGCTCTACGCCACATTGATTGGCAGTGCGCTTCCGCCGCTACAGTGACGCGTTCCGCACTACGCCACATCAATTGCGCTCCTGCCGCTAGTGACGCGTTCCGCACTACGCCACATTGATTGCGCTCCCGCCGCTACAGTGACGCGTTCCCACATTGATTCCGCTACAGTGATACATTTGGCACTACACCACATTGATTGCGCTCTGTGACGCGTTCTGCGCTAAGCCCGTTCATTGCGCTCTTGCCGCTTGCGCTCCTGCTGCTGCAGTGGCGCGTAATGCGGCATTCGACTGCCATGGGAATGTGTTCTCCGCCATGCAGCAAAGGCTAGGTACACAATCAGCACACAATGCTGCTCAACTATCATGGAACATTCATTGTTGACATTGCATTGAAATAGGTACAGGTCAAAGGTCGCACCACTTTTGCAATGCAGCAGCAGCAAGACGGTTGCCTTGAATGGCCTTCCCACCGCCAAATTTGCACAACGTACCGCACCAGACCAGGAGGTCTGCCACATTAGCAAACTCTTGCTTTGTCTGTTCTTTGAGCCATGGATCCCGGCGCTTGCTTGCATACAGTGCAAAGCAGATTGGCAATACCACATCTGGGAAGCAGCACGTCTTGGGGATCTCGGAGCTACCAGGCGCACGGCCGCACGCATGTTTGCAAATGTCTTGCGGGTTATAACACCAAAAGCAAGCATGATAGCTTTTGATCTTCAGCCGTCTTGAGGCTTGCTGCCGCGCTGCCTTGAAGTTGTCAAAGTATATCTTGCATCCTTGCATTGGATGCTCGAAGCTGTGGCCAGTTGCACGGCACATGACGCAGCTGCCTGCCACCGCAAACAAGTTGTCCTCGTACTGCACCAGATCTTCATGCATCGTTCTTGTTGCAGCAGCAATATTGTTGGCTCCAGTATGGCTCATGCTGCTAGGTGCCGGTGAGGATCCAATTGCTGAGTCAGGACGCTGTGGAGGTGCATGGCAGAGTTGTGCGCACACATCACAAAGGGCATCCGTCCCATCCTGGCAGGAGTGCTGTGTCTCGTCCATATAAGATGAGAGCGCTTTGCGGCGGCACTGCTTGCCTTCCAGAAATCTGTACAGCACCTGCTT